AAAGGGGGTCCAACACGTTACTAGCATCGGGTACCTAATAAAGTGGCCGGTGAGTGTGTATATATATATATATATATATATATATATATATATATATATATATCTGCCGGCAGAATATGTTTGCTTTTATTATCCTGCTGCCTGCAGTTTGGATTATTTAGATGAAAAACACCTACCAGCCGCCGCGGTGAACCGCGAGGAGGCGACCCAGCCAGAGGCTGCTGTTGAATGGGATCCTACTGACAGCGCACCGCTGGTATGTCGGGGTCTGAGCGGCTCCGACAGAAATAATATTGGAAGGCAGGATGTAATCTGGATGAACTGACTGCAGTGATTAAGTTTTCAGGTGTATTTTCTCACTTAAAAACATATTAAAACTACTTTATTCTCACCGATAGTGAAGCTCCACCCACTGCGCGTCAGACACACTTTGCACCTTGAGCCAGAGCAGCAAAGCTGCTTCAGCCGCGCGTCAGAACTAACTGGTACAAGCAGCAAAAATGAAGCAGCAGACGCGATTTTTCTGTTCCTGCTGCGTCTGGCGTGAACGTAGCAATACTTTGAACGGCCGGTTCACACCGATGTCGAGCGGTTGAAGTTCCTTTGTCAGACCTCCCGCTATAACAGCGAGCACAGCGTTCATTTGTTTCACCATGTTTTTCACATCAGCTGTGAGATGGGCACGCATGGAGTCACAGATTAACAGCGATGGTGATGCGTGGAAAAAAACCACCTGGTCTCCTTACAGTCACCTCCCTCAGCCACTCTTTCATCATCTCCTCAATGAGGAGATGAGGAGTTCTGCATAAAGCACATACCTGTTCTTTTATACACAATCCACGCCCACACTTCCCCCTTTAACGTTCTCATGGCAGTCTCAACGTCCGCAGTAACAACACACATAGGGTGCGCCACACTTTAGGGCACGCCGCACATTTTGGGGGAAAAAAAAGACGTTTATATGCGGCTTATAAATATGTATCTCCCTTAGAGATAGGGTGAGAAGCTCGCTCATCCAGGAAGGACTCGGAGTAGAGCCGCTGCTCCTCCACGTCGAGAGGTTAGGATGCCTCCTGGATGTCTCCCTGGTGAGGGGTTCCAGGCACGTCCCACTGGGGGGAGACCAAGGACACGCTGGAGGGACGATGTTTCTCTGCTGGCCTGGGAACGCCTTGGGGTTGCTCCTGAGGGGCTAGAAGAAGTGGCTGGGGAGAGGGAAGTCTGGGCCTCCCTTCTTAGGCTGCTGCCCCCGCGACCTGACCGCGGATAAGCGGAGGAAGATGGATGGATGGATATATATATATATATATATTTATATATATATATATATATATATATATATATATATATATATATATATATATATATATATATATATATATATACATATATATATATATATATACATATATATATATATATATATATATATATATATATATATATATATATATATATATATATATATATATATATATATATATATATATATATATATATATATATATACATATATATAAACAGAGGATGCTGTTAAGAAGATGAAAAGTTGGTCATGTGGTTAAGAAGTTGGTACCAAGGCGCTGTGGGAGACGGCTGCCAGTAGCTCTCTAGTTCTTAAACTTTTTTTTTTTTTTTTTTTTTTTTTAACCTTTTTAACCTATTTAACCCCTTTTTCTTCTACTGTTTTATTCTTCTTGTTTATTCTTATTGTGCACTTTACATTTATCCTGTGGATATTTCGAACTTAATATGCAACAAAGAGCCACTTTTCTCACTTATTCGAGAGAGGAACTGCTGGCACTGCGTACAATGCAACGAGCCGGAATACGACATCCCATCCCCGGGGAGCTGAGGAGGAGACCCAGGGGCTGCAAGGCTGGGGCTAAGCTAAAGGCAGAGCTAGCGGAGAATCGGAGGCGCTACAAGCCATCGATTCCCTCCGTGATCATGGGGAATGTGAACTCGCTGCCGAACAAGATCGACGAGTTGTCCGCGTTGAACAACCAGCGGATCTACCGGGAGAGCAGCGTGTTCATCTTTACGGAGACATGGCTAAACCACCTCGTACCGGATGCTAACGTGGACCTGCCGGGATTCACTGCTGTGAGAGCTGACAGAGACACTAAAGCAAGCGGAAAAAGCAAAGGTGGGGGACTCATCATGTATGTCAACAAACGCTGGTGTAACCCAGGACATATCTCTGTAAAGACAGTCTCATGTTGCCGGGACCTCGAGCTGCTAGCTGTTAGCCTGCGGCCATATTATCTACCGAGGGAGTTCAGTCATGTGATCACTGTCTGTGTTTACATCCCTCCAAGAGCGGACGCAGCCAATGCATGTGAGAAGATCCACTCCGTCACAGCAAGGCTGCAGACACAGCATCCTGAGGCATTCATGATCATTTCTGGGGACTTTAATCATGTAACCTTGGACTCTACTTTGGCTGTCTTTCACCAGGCTGTAGACTGTCCTACTAGAAACAACAGGACAATAGATCTGCTGTATGCTAATGTGAGGGATGCATACAGAGCGACTCCCCTCCCCCCACTAGGGAAGTCTGATCACAACCTGGTTCACCTACAGCCACGGTACACCCCCCTGGTCCAGAAACAACCGGTTACAACTCGCACCATCAGGAGGTGGTCCCCTGAGATAGAAAGTGCCCTCAGAGACTGTTACAACATCACAGACTGGGACGTGCTCATCAACCCACATGATGAGGACATTGAGGGGATGACACACTGTCTGACAGAGTATCTCAACTTCTGCGCAGACGTGGTCTCCCCTGCCAAGACTGTCCGATGTTACCCGAATAACAAGCCCTGGGTAACGCAGGAAGTTAAGGCTGTCCTCAACAAAAAGAAGGCTGCTTTCAGGAGCAAGGACAGGGAGGCCATGAAGGCAGCACAGCAGGAGGTGAAGCACTGTGTGAGGGAAGCCAAGGACAATTATAGGAAAAAAGTGGAGCAGAAGCTGAGGGACAATAACATGCGGGAGGTCTGGGAAGGTGTGAAGACCATTACAGGTCACAGCACAAAGACCAGAGCCACAGGGGGGACAATGGAGAGGGCGAACGAGCTGAACAACTTCTTCAACAGGTTCAACCAGCCCATGTCCCCTCCATCCCCACCCTCACTGCAGCCACCTCTCCTCCTTCCCTCTACACACCTCCCTCCAGACATCACAACACCCCCTCCCCCTCCCCCACCTCAACACAATCCCCGCCTCACATCACAACGGATCAGGTCAGAGGACAGCTGAGGAAGCTCCGGTCCAGGAAAGCAGCAGGCCCAGACAGAGTGTGCCCTAGACTACTCAAGACCTGCGCTGCAGAACTGGGGGAGCCAGTACAACGGATCTTCAACCTTAGCCTGCAGCTAGGGAGAGTGCCCACCCTCTGGAAGACATCCTGCATCGTGCCGGTACCAAAGAAGAGCAGGCCCAACGAGCTGAATGACTTCCGACCGGTGGCACTCACTTCACACCTGATGAAGACGTTGGAGCGGCTCTTCCTCGGCCTTCTCAGACCCCAGGTGCAACACGCCCAGGACCGCCTGCAGTTCGCATACCAGCCAGGTGTTGGTGTGGAGGATGCTATCCTCTACATGTTACATCGAGTCCACTCCCATCTGGATAAGGGAAGTGGCACTGTGAGGATTCTATTTTTGGACTTCTCCAGCGCCTTTAATACCATCCAGCCCCCCTTGCTCCATGACAAACTGAGTAAGATGGGTGTGGACCCCCACCTGGTGCACTGGATTTCGGACTACCTCACTGACAGCAGCACAGCAGCAGCACAGGAGCCCCCCAGGGCACTGTGCTAGGCCCTGCTCTCTTCACCCTGTACACCGCGGACTTCTGTTACGATTCGGAGCTGTGTTACATCCAGAAGTACGCCGATGACACAGCCGTCGTTGGGTGCATCAGGGATGACAGAGAGGAGGAGTATCGGAGTCTGGTGAGGGACTTCACTGCATGGTGCCACACCAACCACCTACAGCTCAACACCTCTAAGACGAAGGAGCTGGTCATCGACTTTGGGAGGTCCAGACCAAGACCACGACCAGTTCTGTTAGGGGGAGCTGAGGTGGAGGTTGTGGACTCCTACAAATACCTCGGGCTGTGGCTGGACAATAAACTGGACTGGACAACACACACCAGCCACCTGTATGGCAAGACACAGAGTAGGATGTACTTCCTCAGGAGGCTGCGATCTTTTAACATCTGCAGCAAACTGTTGTGGATGTTCTACCAGTCTGTGGTTGCCAGCGTCCTTTTTTACACTGTGGTGTGCTGGGGGGGCAGCACATCTAAGAAGGACACCTCCAGACTGGATAAACTGATCAGGCGGGCCGGTTCTGTGGTCGGCATGAAACTGGACTCACTGGTGACGGTAGCAGAGAGGAGGACACTGGACAAACTGCTGGACATTATTGACAATGTCAGTCATCCCCTGCACACCGTCATCAGCAACCAGAGGAGCCTGTTCAGTGGGAGGCTGCTCCTTCCCAAATGTAGGACCAACAGACTCAGGAACTCCTTTGTCCCTCATGCCATCAGGCTCTATAACTCCTCTCTGGGGGGGAGTAGGAAATAGGGTTAAGAGAACAGAAGTGAAGGAGTTGTAGATACTCGCTTTGGTTTTTATAATCTGGACACTCTTTTTTTCTCAACCATTCAAGTGCAATACACTACATAACTGTTAATTTAAGTCATTGTTTTTTGCTATAGCCCTCTGTGTTTATTTGTCTATCCTCATCCCCCAATACATCTTCCTACACCTTATTTAATTGATTTTCTATTCTATTTTTCTATTGTATATACTGTGTCTAAACATCCTCTTTTTTTCTTATATGTGCAATTTTTCCTGCTACTGGAAATACAATTTCCCGAAGGGAGTAATCCCAAGGGATTAATAAAGTCAAGTCTAAGTCTAAGTCTAAGTAGTCCAAACTTGTAGCTCCTTTGTTGTTTGACATTGTTTCGTTTATCTGCAGGAGATTATGGACCGTATCTATAAGAATGTGATGATGAAGGTGGAGGAGATGAATTGCTTCCAGCGAGCAATCTTCATCCGAGCATACAACTACAAGCTGGAACAGCTGTTAAAAGGCCGCAGCACCCCGCTGTGTGACAGGTACACAGCCAGGATTTGAACATGTAAATATAAGAATAGCAGAAATGAATGTTTTCTCCTCTCTTTCCTTCCTGTTGAAATAGGTTTGTGTTCAGAAAGGTTCGTTCTCTGCTTGGTGGTCGAACCCGCGTCTTGTTATCAGGTGGGGCTCCTCTCTCCGCCGCCACGCAGCGATTCATGAACGTGTGTCTGTGTTGCCCAGTGGGTCAGGGATATGGCCTGACAGAGACCTGCGGCGCTGGGACTATATGTGAATGTAAGCTAGAATATTTGTTGGTATCTAAACTGTCTGTCTTCACGTTTGCCTTGGTTTGCTTTAGATCCGTTATATGAAATAGAAACACAGAGAGAAACAGATGCAGCTTTTCTTTTCCCATCCGCATGAAATCACCTCTGACCCAATCTTGGAGTTATCTAACCAAGAACAAATTAAAAAATAAAAACTGTTCATTTGTTTATAAATGGCACCATTTCCCCTCTGACTGTCACATGCAGTATTTTGTAAAATTATTTTGTATTTAGTTTAATTCAATTTAGTTAAGTTTATTTCTCATAGCTCTTAACAGAGACAATAATGTCCGATTGGTTCTAAGTTTTCAATCCAAAGAAAACCAGCTGGTTGCATCCAGTCATTGAAGACCCGCTTCTCTTAGATCAACCTGCAGAAATGATTTTTGCCAACATTTAGTCATTGACTCTTCAGCAATCCCTCACAACAAGCATGCTTGTAGCAACAGTGGAGAGGAAAAACAGGAAGAAAGCTCATCAACAGCTCAGCTGTAGAGGTGGTCAGCAGCACCACATTCATCACAGACACCCTCACCTGGACTGGAAACACCACCTCACTGGTCCAAAGGGCCCAGAAGCGCTTGGACTTCCTGCCCCCCCATCCTCCCCACCTTCTCCAGAAGCACCATAGAGAGCGTTCTGACCCCCCCATCCTCCCCACCTTCTCCAGAAGCACCATAGAGAGCGTTCTGACCCCCCCATCCTCCCCACCTTCTCCAGAAGCACCATAGAGAGCGTTCTGAGCAGCTGTCTCACTGTGTGGTGTGGCGGCTGCAGCGCCTCAGACTGGAAGAAGGTGAGAACAGCAGAGAGGATCATGGGGGCTCCTCTTCCCTCCATTAAAGACATTTCATCCCAGTGCTGCGTGTCCCGTGACATCATCAATGACCCCTCACCCCCCCACCATGGACTGTTCTCCATGCTGCCCTCTGGGAAGAGGCTTCCCAGCATTCAATGCAGGACCAGCAGGTTCTGCAGCAGCTTCTTCCCCACCGCCATCACACTGATGAAAATGAATCTAATCACAAATTGAGACTCGGCTTCACGCTTTAAACATCATATTTGCACTACATGGTGAATTTCCAAATCCCTTTAAATAGAACTCAACTTCTACTGCATTTTGCTCCATATTTATTTATTTATTTATTTTGCACATTTTGTCTTATAAATCTGGAAATGGTGAGTGGCGATAAAATGTCCTGGTAGGTTAGCAGTTGTTGACTTTTTCATAACTTATCCAAACCCTGATTCATATGGACACATTGGTAGGAAATGATCACAAATTACTGCTAATAGAGATTTAAAGACAAGTTGCCCTTATTTAGTATTTGTTTCAACAGCTTGAAAGCGAAGAAATAAGGAGGATCAACTGAAATTTGGATTGGGAAAGTAGGTTAGAGCCTGGACTGGATAAAGAGAGAAACCAGTTAGTGGTCTTTGCAGAGCTAAAGAATATTTATTTCATCTGGTTTGGTAAAAATTTAAGCCATTTACTTCTCAATAAAGAAGACATTTCTCACCACTTCTTAAACATAAAACACTCTCTGTCATTAGTATAACAGCTCATCTATTATATTTTGTTTCTAGAATATTTAGAATGTTTTAATAGAAATGTCGTCAGGCTTTCCCAGGCAGGCTAAACCCTGCGGTCATTTAAGTTAGGAAAACACTGACAGTTCCTCCGGGGAGAGGTTGCCATGGCACGGGAGCAAGTGAGGTTGTGTTTGCATGGCAATAAATGCAGGGCTTTGATGCCTGTGGGCTTTCCAATAATGTTTATCTGTTTTTCTGTTCCAGACTGGGATTACAGCACTGGTAGAGTGGGAGGGCCACTGGTTTGCTGTGAGATCAAACTCAAAGACTGGATTGAGGGTAAGTAGGACGGCATCATATAATGCATCATCTCATCAGACCATCCAGCACTGCGTTCCAAACTAAAACCAATAGTTTGGCTTTCAGTCTTCTAGGAAAGCTACCAGTAGTTTCTCAATAACCTTGTAAGGAAGTCACCAAATGTTTAACTAATCTTTTCATCTCATGGCTCATAACTTATTTTGATGGTGCTCTGCTAAATCTTGATTGCATCAATCTTAGTTTACTGCTTGCTTCCTGAGCCACATGGAAAGAAAAGATAAAGCTTCTTTTTTTGCAGTCATTAAGTTTTCTGCTCTGATTTCAATCAATGACGTCTGAACCCCGTCTGTAGGCGGTTACCGAAGCACCGACAAACCTCATCCCCGGGGAGAGATTCTGATTGGTGGACCCAACGTCACCATGGGATATTACAACTGCAAGGCAAAAAACCAGGAGGACTTTCTGGTTGATGAAAACGGCCAGCGATGGTTCTACACTGGAGACATTGGAGAGATTCATGAAGACGGGTGTCTCCAGATTATCGGTATTTATGGCTGATCATAGCAGAGGAGCCTGGTGTGGATGTCAGACCCAGAGTTGGTTAACTCTGCCCCCACCTCTGTGCAGAGGCATAGCCTGCTCATGTTTATGGGTCGACCTGTGCAGCTGGCTCCTCAGGGTCTATCTACGGCACCCCAAAAGGAAAAAAGACTATTTTCCAAAGAAATACAAATTAGATTTTCCTAAAGCTCAGAAACAGACACATAAACTTACAAATCATATTCTGCATAATATTGATTATTAAATATGCAAATAAATACATTATATTTAGCTGTTCTTTATGTCTGATTACATGAAAGACTCCCAGATAACTTGCAGAAACCAAATTTTCTCTTTACTTCAGAATCTAGTTCTGAGAAATTAAATCTGCATTAATCATCTTTAATGTTCCTACATTTATATTAATAATTAACCTTTATTTCAGTTGTCGGCTTAAAGACCAAAAAAACTTAAAGGTTTTATGGAGGATTTTCACAAATTTTTTAAAAGACCCACCTTGTGCCCTGTAGCCACTCCCAAGAGGGAACGCCTATCAAATGCGTGCGAGAGCGTGCACGAGCCCATTTCTCCTCGTGCACACTCTATTTAAAAGTTGTTGTTCTGATCGCTCATAGCAGGTTACGTGTCTGACCGACCGCCCTGACCCCTCAATCCCTCCATCACTATATAGAGCGGGGACTCTATAGTGAACTTCATAGTGAACTCAGTTAACTGACCGTTCAGACAGACGATCACTGCTTTTTGCTCCCCTTGGTCCACTGTAAAGTGCCGGCGCCATCTTTGTTATCACTCACCGCCTGTTGGGTAGTGACAGCCTATGGCGAAGGCAGGCCGCAATGACAGCAAATCCCATAATGCTTTGTGAGGACAGCTCTCCGTGCAAAGCATTCTGGGATATATTTGCCTCTTCTGAGGCCTTTGTTTCCTCCTAATCCAATTTGTAGACACTTGTTCTTTTCCGACTCTCGGCCTTTTTCAAAGAACCGTGGTGAGAAAGTTGAGCTTCAGTGACCGTCTGAAACCGCAGCTCACCACAGATATACGCCTGAAAGACAAACAACGCTAACGGGACGAGCGCGTAGGACGGCCTTACGTTAACATTTCACCAGAATGATTGACAGGTAGGAGGACCACTGATTGAGATGATTGTCCCAGAAATAAAAGATCATCCTCTATACCTTTAATATAAAACATAATATAGAACTTTCCACTGTCGGTTAAAACTGCTGGCTGTTTTCAAGGGGAATTACTGTGAATTATGTCCTCATGGGATCAGCTGGTAGGAGGGGCCACAAGGCAACCAGTGATTGCCTGATGGGGGCATGGCCACCCCTGGCCCCCCATCTAGCTCCGCCCTGCTTGTTGTGAACATGAGTTCCAAGCTGCTCTCTGTGTTTCGCTCCAGATCGTAAGAAGGACCTGGTGAAGCTGCAGGCGGGAGAGTACGTGTCCCTGGGCAAGATGGAGGCTGTGTTGAAGAACTGCCCACTGGTTGACAACATCTGTGTCTATGCCAACAGGTTTGTGTTAAAAGAAACAACAGGTGCAACTGACTGATTCAAATCAAAGGAACTATCAGACAAAATGCCAGGTTGAGGATCTAATGTGATGGTTGTCAGAATCTTTGCACTTTTTCTGTAAATTTACTCTGTTCCACGATAAAACAGAATAGCTTCAGCGTATTGGAGACGGACATGAGGCTGACTACAGCTGCTGGACACTTTCTGGCATGAAAGATTAATCTGAACAAATTAAAAGGTATCTTGGTGGATTTTAGCGAAAACAGGATAATATCAAACACACCATAGGAGAAGAATTAAAGGTGGATTTAAGATTAAGGGTCTAGTTACATATTCTATCAGTAACAGTCTGGTTCACATAGAAAGGTTCTCTGATTACATTCTGACTTTATTTTTCTGTCTTAAACGTTGGTTTTGCTCCATTTGATAGTAAACTTCAGATGTTTCTGTATCTAAAAGTAGAAGATTATAGCATCACGGGTATAATATGGTGCAATAATAAGGAAGTAATATAGCAGAACAAGTTTCCAGCTGGGTGTGAAATGAAAGAGCAAAACAATCTAGAATGAGTAGGAATGAATGTTGGCATTCACTGAAGGTGGAGCTAAAGCAACCTGGGAGATTTCAAAGCCAAACAGCTTCCATTCCCTGAGTGTTTATTCAGCCATTCACTGCGATAACAAGCTGTTTCCTTCAGATTGGAAAGTTTTAACTTCCAGCTCACACTCAGGCATCCCTCGCTCCATGTATGGAAACACATTCCACCTGATAATGCACATGCATGCATATCTCTGTGGCTGCAGCTCCTTATTCGGCTGCACAGCTGCTCTGGATCTTTTTCCTTTCATTGCAGAAGTTGTCTGTTTTTTCACTCCCTTCAAAGCTGCTTCATCTGATTGTCCTCCCTTACAGTGATGAGACATATGTGATTGCGTTTGTGGTGCCTAATCAGAAGCAGCTGCTGACTCTGGCTGGCCAGTACGCCATCAGAGGTACCTGGGAGGAGCTTTGCAACAGTGAGGCCATGGAGGAGCTGGTCCTTAAAGTCATCTCTGAGGCTGCACTGGCAGGTAAGAAGAAGCTGAGAAGAACCTACTCTAGTGGAGGTACCAGTTAACGTGCTCTTACTTTTTATTGCAGCCCAAATGGAGCGCTTTGAAATACCACGCAAGATCCGTTTAATCCCAGAGCCCTGGACCCCTGAAACCGGATTAGTGACCGATGCATTCAAGCTCAAACGCAAGGAGCTGAAAACACATTTCAAAGATGATATTGAAAGAATGTACGGTGGAAAACAACCATGAGCAGCAGATTGACTCTGATATAGTGTGATTCCATTAGAGCAGCAATCTTCATCTTCAGCACAAAATCCCACTTCATGACGCCTCAGTTCCCTTGTTAAACCAAGGAAGTAGTCCTAATATGCTGAATTTCCTAATCCTGCAGGCCAGGACACAGTTAACCTTTCTGCTGCTTTTGTTTTGTCTCCGGTTTTGTCCTGTTTGTCTCTGGGCTTTGATGTCCCCCCCCCCCCCCCCCCCCCCCCCCCCAAACACACTGAGACATAGAAATAAGGATGATCTTAGTGGGGTCAGGTGTGTGATGACCTTGGCCACTATGATGGAGCTGAGATCATTTCTAATAAAGTCTGAGATAGCAGAAGGGTCCAGTATGGAGGCCCTTCAGTCTGTAGTCCATCAAATTATCCCAGTAACTGAATACAAATCATTGCAGCTGCATGTGACGTCCATGTCAGCAAAAAAGAAAAAGAAATAGAACTGTATTGATCTCACAATGGAGAAATTCCCTCTTGGCTGCCATTGTGTGGCGTCCGGGGAGCAGGGTGGGGTTAAGGCTCTTGCTCAGGGACCCAGAGTGGAAGTCTGTGGGGATCAAACCGGGCATACTGCTCTAACCACCAGGCCACCACCTCCAAACCTCTGCTGTGGTAGAACATCTGAGAAAGTTGCAATGAAGGAAGAGCGCGGCGCGAACCGAGGGCTTATCGTGTCACCCTGGTTTTATGCTGATATTAGATTTTCCTTCATGCAGACTTGAACAGATTACTGTCCTTACAGATTGTCACCTGTTGCGCTTTAGTGATTCTGAAACATGCCTTTCTGATTTTAAACTGATCCTTAGAGTAAAATACAGCATTGATCCAGGTAGAGGACGGCAGAGGAAGATAACGCATGGCTGCTACAGGATCTCCATGCCTCAAAGCAATGCTCACACACAAATATTTATCTGTAATTTTCTCTTGGAAAATGAGATGCAATGATTTTAATAAAGCTATTGTTTAATCTGAATGTTTTAAATGTATTTTTGTTCAGTCAATCTAAGGAAATCTTTGAGCCCAGAACACATCTGAGCCAAAGCAAAGCAGCAATCCTTCGTCATTGAACAGAGCCGGTAGAGATTGCTGGCCCTGGAGGATTCAGGTCCAGAGATTAAACCTTTCTTAGTTTTCCTTTATCTTGTCTATTCTAGCAGGTGATTAGTCCCTAATGCTGGTTTTGATGCTTTAGATTTATCTTTCAAACAACTTGTTTTCAGTAGGGCAGTCATGAACCTCTTGGTGTAATAAAAGAGGACAGATGGACCTAATATTCAAGGTGAGACAGGCAATGGGAAAGTTCAAAACATTAACAGAAGATAAACAGACAGAACAGAAGACTGTGGATCTGAGCGCCACAGTGGCTGCAGAAGGAGGGGGGGGGACTACCCGATCTCTGACACTGGAGGGAGAAACACCGGTAAGTGACAATGATCATCTGACAGATGATTACCTGAGTGAGTCACCTGGTTTACCAGTTCACTCCATCGTCTCTGACGAAGGCAGATTCCAGCCGATGGACAAGCCAAATGAGCTGCGGACATCAGTGTCCCCCGACTCAGAAACCCCAGCGAGCAGGCAAGGATCAGATCCAGGTCAGGGATACAGATCAGACTGGAAGAGTGCTGGAATCCAGGAATCCTCAGGCCGATCAGGGGTTCCGATCCATACAGGAACAGACAGATCCACACAGAGCGTGAAGGCAGGTTCAGAGCTCCATGCATCGAGCAACCAGCCCAGAAACGCACAGATGCAGAGAGGAAGAATCCAGCAGGAGTCCAAAGATGGTTCAGGCGAATAAATCAGACAGGGACAGACAGGCTCAGTGGTTGAGAGGGAATGGAATCAGAAACCACCAAAGAAAAGCTGAAAAGCTCTTACCACTAGAGCTAGTGAATAAACTCACTGGAAGACAACGGCTCTGAATAATCTCCTCACTTGAACAAGGAAATTAACCTTGGACAATTCAAACTAACGAAACAGAATACGCAGATATCAAACAATGATCTGGAACAGATAGGGGGGCTGAGCCGTATATCAAGCAGAGGGAGCAGGTGAATAAGATGAATGATAATTAGAGAGCAGGATGGGAATGGCAAGTGAATGAATGAAGCGAGTAATGAAGGTCAGCTATCAGGGCAGATCATCACACTTGGGAATATGAAGTGTTCTAGAACAGGAATGCAACCCCAAATATAGCAGAAAATCTACAACAGAATGGCTGAAAAACTAAAGCCCTGATGTGTTACCGATCAAAAATTCAGATCTGAAACTGAATTAACTGCTGTAGAATTATGATGAAAATGAAAAAGAGAGATCATATCTCTCCTATCCTGGCTTCTCTTCATTGGCTTCCTGTTAAATCCAGAATAGAATTTAAAATCCTCCTTCTCACATATAAAGCCTTAAATGGCCAAGCTCCATCTGATATCAGAGATCTGATTGTTCCTTATGTTCCTAACAGGTCACTTCGCTCTCAATCTGCAGGTTTACTAGTGGTTCCTAGAATTTCTAAAAGTAGAATGGGAGGCAGATCTTTTAGTTCTCAGGCTCCTCTCCTGTGGAACCAACTACCAGTTTTAGTCCGTGAGGCAGACACCCTGTCTACTTTTAAGGCTAGGCTTAAAACTTTCCTTTTTGATAAAGCTTCTAGTTAGAGTGGCTCAGGTTATCCTGATCTATCTCTATAGTTCTGCTGCTATAGGCTTAGACTGCTGGAGGACATAGGGACCCCTTTTTCATCATTCTGCTTCATTCTATCTCTATTCTCTCACTCTGCAGAATCTGTTAGTTCAATCTCTAACGTTCTGCTCTCTCTGCTTTTTCTCATAGTAGCTTCATCTGGTCTGTTCCTGTTTGGCTGTGACTCCATCCTGGAGAGAAATATCAGCTGTGTTGCTGCCATCAACAGCTCATCAATAACGTCTCTCCACTGTCGCTACAAGCATGCTTAGTGTGAGGGATTGCTGAAGAGTCAATGAGTCGATGCAATCAGCTGGTTTTCCTTAGATAGAAAACTTTGAATCAACCTGACTGGATGATCTGGTTTAATCGATTCTGTAAAGTGACCTGAGGTGACACAATGTGAATTGGAACTATAGAAATAAACGGAATAAATGAGGAATGGATTAATAAAACCTGTAATTTCTACTAAGAGACTTAGTAAAACATGGATAGTAAAATTCTCACCCAATATTTAAAAATAAATACAAGCATGTATTTATGATTTGATATCCTAACCCTGCTGCCTTGCAGCAAGAAGGTTCTGGGTTTGATTCCCAGCCTGGGGTCTTTCTGCATGGAGTTAGCATGTTCTCTCTGAGGATGCGTGGGTTCTCTCCAGGTACTCCAGCTTCCTCCCACAGTCCAAAAACATGACTGTTAGGGGAATTGACTTCTCTAAATTGTTTTTAGGTGTGAGTGTGAATGGTTGTTTGTCCTGCGTGTCTCTGTGTTGCCCTGCGATGGACTGTCCAGGGTGGACCCCGCCACTCGCCCATTGCCTGCTAGAGATAGGCACGAGCACCCCTCGCTACCCCACTCGGGACAAGCAGGTCAGATAATGGATGGATGTTAATTGGCTTCTCAAAATTCCCGTTGGGTGAGTGTGTGTGAATGGTTATTGGTTTGTTTTTAAAATACTGTTTCAGTCAAAAAAATTGAGACAGTTATATCGATCCATCTATTGCCATCCCTCCAACAAGGTCTTTCTCCATCTGTTTGTGGGTTAGATGTGAGACCAGTCTACGAGTGGCAGGGTGACCAGTCTACGTGTGGCAGGGTGACCAGTCTACGAGTGGCAGGGTGACCAGTCTACGAGTGGCAGGGTGACCAGTCTACGTGTGGCAGGGTGACCAGTCTACGAGTGGCAGGGTGACCAGTCTACGAGTGGCAGGGTGACCCTAACTCTAAGAGGCAGGATCACAGAGACAGAGAGTTTTTGGACTGGGGCAGGAAGCCGGAGTACCCGGAGAGAACCCACGCATGCTCAGGGAGAACATGCAAACTCCATGCAGAAAGAACCTGGACGGGGAATCGAACCCAGAACCTTCTTGCTGCAAGGCAGCACTGTGCAAAAACCTCCAAAATAGAGAAGAGGAACAAGCAGGCAGAGTTTATATAGATGCAGGAACCTGTTTCAGTGAAGAAATTCACTGGAAATCTTTTAAATTTTTATTTGCCAAAATATATGAAAACTTTCATATCTGTTTTGCACCCCTCTGTGTTCGTCTTCACACATAAAATACATTAGACTATGTTCCTCGGACATGAAAAACTGATGTAAGCCCTACAAGGTCTTAAAATGTTTTCTTTTGTGGATTTTTCATCTTCAGCTTCTTTGCAGTTGCCATTTTTCCATGACTTCCCCTCTGGACTACTTTCCTCTGGACTCCAGGGAGCCCTTCAGAAAGAATCTATGAGCTCATTTCACCAAGAATCCCCAGAGAGAGGAAAGTTTTGCTTTGATTAAAGAAGAAGAAGTATTATTCCTCTGTGGGTCATTTGCTAAGGGATCATCTTACAATCGGACCAGTCCGTCTGAGTCACCATGACGCTAAAACTTCTCCATATAAATAACTTCAGTTGTGCTCAGATCTCAGTGGGGAAGGAGAGACTCCGCTCTGCAGCTCGGTGAGTTCCTTTGTCTGTTCAAGCTTTTATAGTTTTTACTTTTCTGGAAAAGGTTTTCTGGGGGAGCAAAAAACTTGAACTTATTTGTTCTGTAGGATAACAGATTCATGAAGGCGCCATATGTTTCTGAATATCTAGAAAATAAAAAAACATAACGAGTGCAAAAAAAAAATTAATGCATTTTCCATCTACTTAAGCCAGAGATGGGGACTCGAGTTTGTGACTCGTACTCGAGTCGCACTTAAGTCGCATATTTAAGGACTTCAGACTCGACTTAGACTCGTGATTTCCGACTTGTGAACAATATTTTATTCCAGTGTAAAAACACTTAAAGTGTTTTTTTTTTTACTAACTTGACTGATCGCCGCTCGCCTTACCCGCACACAGAAGAGGTAAAAAAATAAAAATAAAAAAAAAACTCAAAGACCCAAACCGTGAAGCACTCAAGTTCAAGTGTTTTATTTATACAAAAAGCCACAGCAGAAGTGGCATAATAAAACAGTCCTTTTCTTCTCCTGATAAAACCTAAAATTCAAGAGTTTTCCTTAAAAATCAGAGGCTGGAAGTTGGGCTCCGCTTGTTATGCTGCTTCAGGTGCGAGTGATCAGCCTGCAGCACCCACTGGCTGATCCACAGACTCTGCGGCGCTCCAGCACTGTTCCACTCCCTGGCGTGCCACACCCCTTTCCACACCGATCCAGCTAAAAAGAGAAGCAAGGAGAACGCCAGCATCCACGCGTCAAAACCCCGTCGGAAGATATATTCCTGTTTATGCTTTAAGCGAGGGGGAGCGCTACTTACAGGCGAGGTTCCTCCTCTGCCCTAATACTGTGGGCCATCTGTGCACACGGATCCCGGCAGCGCGTCCGTCTCTGTCACCTGCAGATTCCGTTCTCCTTCTCCTTTCCTTCAGACTCCTTTTATGTCGGCTTTAATCAGCCCTTGCTCACACCTGAGCGCAGCATTACGCAGCGCAATCAATGCACTCCGCCTCCTCAGACAACTACTTCAGTCCAGTGCGCATGGATTGTCACAAGGGAAAAACAAACCAAAACAACCCAACATGCAGGAAAAATTCTAAAGTCTAAAATAAAGGAAAACAATCATATAAAAAAGAAACATCAAAACATGCAAAGCTCAAGAAGAAAAACAAATCATATCTTCCTCTCCAAACATGCAAAGCATAACATTTAAATGAAGAAAACCATAAATCATTTTTTTCCCTACGCAACACACTGACGTCACTGACGCAACAGTACGTGACATGTATGCCCGTGCGCATGCATGCATGCAACCCATACAGATATGGAAGCGGTGATAACCCCCCCCCCCCCCCCCCCCTGTTTCGGTGCCACCGTTCATAATAACCTTTGGCTACAAAAACTTTACATAAGGCGGGAATAAAAGAGCAGCAAACTGCAGCTTCTTTAGAAAAAAATACACGATGCTTGGTCCACATCTAATTTTATCAGCCACAGTGCAGTGCAGGTGTACAGCCAGGGACAAATAAGGCAATAATTCAGGACCTTATTATTTCATGCAACCTCCCCTTGTCTTTGATCGACAAGCCCAGCTTTAAAAGCTTCATGGCAGTGGTAGAGGAGAAATATGTTGTGAATAATGGTGTAAATTGGCGCTAAATAAATAAACTGAATTGAATTGAAAATACTCTCCGCCAAGTCATTAAGTTACAAAAAGTTATTGCCACAATCTTTCTTTTATAAAAGTATTGTTATTGTCCTGCTATTTATTTAGGGTTTTTCTTTATCTCTTGTAGTTGCTAACCTCATATGTATTAATAAAAAGCAGGATTGTGATTGTTTTTTCCCCACAGTCCTCATTTTCACTTAAAAATAAAAGAGCAGACATTTACTGCTAAAACTAGAAGAAGTTGTAACCACAAATGTCAGGTAAATACTGTAAGAAAATGCAAAATTTATCTGGAAAAAATGTTTGTGCTTTTTTTAATTGTATTTTTCATTTAGCAGTTCAAGATAATGATAATTCCATAGATATAATAGCGACCTTTAAGCTATACCATTTCAGTGACGGAGATGAAAACACAAGGAGAAACAAGCAAGCACGAAAATTATTGCACTTTTTTTAATTAATCAAGTGATTAGAATTTTTTGTGCGATTAATTGATTTTTGCTACAGGCCTTCTCAAGACTTTAGACTTGACTTGGACTAGCAAAAAATGACTTGTGAACATGTCTGACTTAAGCATATTTAGTTATTTGTTACTATTATTTCATTTCCTTTTTGTGTGCAGTGGAATCTAATCATCTAATTCAAACCGATCTCTGCGCGTTTAACGCGCCCAAATCTTACTTTAAGAAAAAAAAAATAACAATCATAACTCATTTAACGTTTCTGCATTTTTTCCTCATATTTTAGGCTTTTATCCTGAACTGAAAAAGAAATGGAACATCAGGAAAACTTCACAGCAGCGTCTGCACGCCTCTTGCCGCACGCGACGGCCGCCAAAGAAAGCGGCGGAAACGCGCATCTCTACGTATTGATAGTCATGTCTTTTTACGGAGTGTTTCTCTGCGGAATCATGCTGGGATATTTCCGCTCCAAGAGGAAGGAGGAAAGGAGGAGTAACATCTTCACGCGCCTGGTGCACGAGGAGGAGCAGAGGGAGTGGGGCGCCCTGTCTCCGAAGCACAGCCTCACCTTCCCGGGCTCGGGGCTGCGGGCGCTGCACGTTTCATTGCCGTTTTGCGGTAACCATGGCAACCACTCTGGGGCCCTACGTCACGAGGCTTTCCTGCCGTCTCCGCTGGCGTGCGCGCTCTGCGCGGAGCAGAGCAGCGTCAGCTCCCTGTGCTCCTCCGCAGACACGCGCGTGACCATTGAGGAAGAGGAGGCAGACAGAACCTAACCCTGACAGCGGCAGCAGAAGGGAAACCTGCACCAGCGGAGACTCAGGCTGAACTTTCCCAGGACTTTTAAATAAAATCACAAAATCATAAAAATTCACATTGAAAGATGCGAAAATCTGCTGGGAACCAAAAATGACCTGAAATGCTTCATGATCAAAGGAGGCAGTTGGTGTGTTTGCGACTAACTGGGTCTAAAGTCTTCATACCTTCATTGTTTTCATGCACCTTCAGCTGCAGTTTGTTACTGAGCAGCAGCGCCCTCCTCCGACCTAAAAGCTGAACTACATTTTATTTTCCTTAATGCAGCTGTTTAGATCCCAGAACTGATTCAGATTACAGTATTTATTCATTTACTAGATGAATTTGGCTCCTCCTGCGCCATCCAGCACCACCCCACCCCACCCCTTCTTGCTGCTGCCACCTCACTGGATTGTGCCGATGACTCATCCTGCGGGGGGGCGGGGGGTGTTTGTTTCCTTTTGTAGTACCACAACATACCTGGAACACACTTGAAGGGTTAAATTGGTTGTAGCTTCATGGTGGACACATTTGTTCACAGAACAGCAACGGTTTAGGTTTACTTGATGAAAGCAAAGCACTGTAGGTTATATTAATGCATGTGTTTGTTATTCCTGCAGTTTTAATTTAAATGAACACATTGGGAGTGTTACAGTAAAAAAATAAATGCTTTTAAAAGGAAAACAACTGCTCTTTTCTTTCTGTAACCTTCTTATTTCACCAGCGGAGGGCAGTGTTTATGTGGGTGCTTAGAAATATGCAAATAAATGGTTAAAAAAACTACAAATCAGCTGTTTTTTGGTACAGTTCAGTTAATTTCTATAGCTCTAATTCACATCAAGGCACTTTCCAGTTCACCAGATCATCCAGTCAAAGATTCAAAGTTTTCTATCTAAGGAAAACCAGCTGATTGCATCGACTCATTGACTCTTCAGCAATCCCTCACACTAAGCATGCTTGTAGCGACAGTGGAGAGGAAAAACTCCCTTTGAACAGGAAGAAACCTCCAGCAGAACCAGGCTCAGTGTGAGCGGCCATCTGCTGAGGCCCACTGGGGTTCAAGGAGACAGAAGCAGACATAGAAAAAGAAGCATAGATACAAAAGGCAACTGTCAACCAGCTCCACAGGCGGCCCCGTCCAGGAAACACACAGCCAGGCAGACGAGCTCCGAGCCAGCTCCCATGTCAGAGGATGAAGAGAGCACATCCAGTTAGTCACAGTCAGAGAAACAGGACTACACTGGAAAACAGGCCAAGCTCCAACATCTAGAAACAAAGGTGTTGATGGCAGCAGCACAGCTGATATTTCTCTCCAGGATGGAGTCACAGCCAAACAGGAACAGACCAGATGAAGCTACTATGAGAAAAAGCAGAGAGAGCAGAACGTTAGAGATTGAACTAACAGATTCTGCAGAGTAGGAGAATAGAGATAGAATGAAGCAGAATGATGAAAAAGGGGTCCCTATGTCCTCCAGCAGTCTAAGCCTATAGCAGCAGAACTATAGAGATAGATCAGGATAACCTGAGCCACTCTAACTAGAAGCTTTATCAAAAAGGAAAGTTTTAAGCCTAGCCTTAAAAGTAGACAGGGTGTCTGCCTCACGGACTAAAACTGGTAGTTGGTTCCACAGGAGAGGAGCCTGATAACTAAAAGATCTGCCTCACATTCTACTTTTAGAAGTTCTAGGAACCACTAGTAAACCTGCAGATTGAGAGCGAAGTGCTCTGTTAGGAACATAAGGAACAATCAGATCTCTGATATCAGATGGAGCTTGGCCATTTAAGGCTTTATATGTGAGAAGAAGGATTTTAAATTCTATTCTGGATTTAACAGGAAGCCAATGAAGAGAAGCCAGGATAGGAGAGATATGATCTCTCTTTTTCATTTTCATCAGAACTCTGGCTGCAGCATTTTGGATCAGCTGAAGGCTTTTAACTACAGTTTGTGGACTTCCTGATAGTAAAGAATTACAATAGTCCAGCCTTGAAGTAACAAATGCATGGACTAGTTTCTCAGCATCACCCCTGGACAGGAGATTGCTCATTTTTGCAATATTCCTCAGATGAAAGAAGGAAATTCTAGAAACCTCTTTGATATGGGATTTAAATGACAGGTCCTGATCAAAAACAACACCAAGATTTTTTACTTTATCATCTGAAATCAGTTTAAACTCTGACCACCCAGGCTGCAGACCTGCAGAGTCTTAGTTTAACAGACCTCTCTGCAGCTTCTCTACTGTTACCCACTCTTTACTCCATCCAGACAGGGTCTTACCCATGTCTAAAATCTAATAAATTAGCAAAGATTCCTAAAGGAGTAAATCACGATAATCTAAAAATGAAAATAACTCCAATTGGGGAAAAAGTTAAAACCCTGACCTTTAACCCTCCCCCTGACCTTAAGCTAAATTTAATTCACACTATTCCTCTAAACTGATTCTCTAAGGTTAAAAATGTCCTGGTCCCCCTAAGGATAGTAAACAGACCAGAAACAGTCCTAAATAGATAAGATAAATAAGAACACGGACAATCAACTGTCTCACAATCCCACAAACGACAGAAAAGACGGCTCGCTACAGCATCATTACCCTGATCATCCCAGCAGTCAGGACCAGTCAGAGGAAGCTGACTTGTTCCTTTCACTCACTTAGAAATATGCAGTTATGAATTTCAAGTTTTTTGGTTTGTACTTTCATAGCGGTTTCTGATGGACCAAAGTGTTTTACTCTACCTCAATTCTATTCAGTTTATTTCTATAGCTCCAAGTCACATCAGGTCATCTCAGGTCACTTTCCAGTTCACCAGGTCATCCAGTCAGATTGATTCAAAGAGTTCTTGCAAAGCAGTCTGGGAAAATTGCTCGTATAGTGACCATCAATGACCACTCATTTTAAAGATGCATTGCGGGAAATTTGGAGTCCATTACTTTTTCATCCGCTAGACTTTCGGACACTGAAAAGATGTGACCACTATATAGTGCCCTATAGAGGGGCTAGAGCAGACATTCAGAAACAGCCTCAGTGTCCTCTGTCTCCACCCTCCTTACAGGCAATCACCTTGTTTTATTTGCTGATTCAATCAGCAAAGCTCTGCTGTAGTTTTGTTCCAACAATAAAAATAAAATCAGTCAGAAGGTCGGTTCGACACCATTTTTAAAAACAAACATTGCATGTCTTTTAGACAAGGATCTTATTAGGAAATGAGAGGCATTAATTCACAAAGAATCCAATATTTATAGGGGAAGGATTCTCAGAGCGTGTCTAAATGTCCTTAATATTCAGAAAGTTTCACGTCCAAATCCTTCCCAGACATTACACACTTCTGTAACAGATTCCTTCCTTCCTTCCTTCCTTCCTTCCTTCCTTCCTTCCTTCCTTCCTTCCTTCCTTCCTTCCTTCCTTCCTTCCTTCCTTCCTTCCTTCCTTCCTTCCTTCCTTCCTTCCTTCCTTCCTTCCTTCCTTCCTTCCTTCCTTCCTTCCTTCCTTCCTTCCCTACCAACCAACCAACCAACCAACCAACCACAGGAAAAAGAGAACTTTCTTTTGGGTCACCCAAACTATTTTGTGTTTTCCTGAAAAGTCCCACTTATTCACCACCATACGCTGTGAAATGAATAGAAAACAGAGTCAAGACATTGACAAGGTTAGAAATAATGATTTGTATTTGAAAATGTTATTTTTTTTACATAAAATTTTGCTTTGGTCAAAGAATCCTCCATTTGCAGCAATTCCAGCATTGCAGACCTTTGGCATTCTAGCTGTTAATCTGTTGAGGTAATCTGGAGAAATTGCCCCCCACGCTTCCAGAAGCAGCTCCCACCAGTTGGATTGGTTGGATGGGCACTTCCTGTGTCCCATACGGCGGTCACGCTGCTCCCACAACAGCTCAATGGGGTTCAGATCTGATGACTGCGCTGGTCGCTCCATTACCCATAGAATACCAGCTGCCTGCTTCTGCTCTAAATAGTTCTGCACAATTTGGAGGTGTGTTTAGGGTCATTGTCCTGTTGTAGGATGAAATTGGCTCCAATCAAGCGCTGTCCACTGGGTACGGCATGGCGTTGCAAAATGGAGTGATAGCCTTCCTTATTCAGACAAATCTCCCACCTTACCAGCACCAAAGCAACCCCCGACCATCACATTACCTCCACCGTGCTTAACAGATGGCGTCAGGCATTCTGACAGCATCTTTTCTTTGCCACTCTGCCCTGAAGCCCAGAATTCTGCAGCCGCCTCTTCACTGTAGATGTTGACACTGGTGTTTTGTGGTACTATTTAATGAAGATGCCAGTTGGGGACCTGTGAGGCGTCTGTTTCTCAAACTAGAGACTCTAATGTACTTATCTTCTTGCTCAGTTGTGCAACGCGGCCTCCCACTTCTTTTTCTACTCTGGTTAGAGCCCGTTTGTGCTCCTCTGAAGGGGCTAGTACACACCGTTGTAGGAAATCTTCAATTTCTTAGCAATTTCTCGCATGGAATAGCCTTCATTTCTAAGAACCAGAATAGACTGTCGAGTTTCAGATGAAAGTTCTCTTTTTCTGGCCATTTTGAGCGTTTAATTGACCCCACAAATGTGATGCTCCAGAAACTCAATCTGCTCAAAGAAAGGTCAGTTTTGTAGCTTCTGTAACGAGCTAAACTGTTTTCAGATGTGTGAACATGATTGCAAAAGGGTTTTCTAATCATCAATTAGCCTTCTGAGCCAATGAGCAAACACATTGTACCATTAGAACACTGGAGTGATAGTTGCTGGAAATGGGCCTCTATACACCTATGTAGATATTGCACCAAAAACCAGACATTTGCAGCTAGAATAGTCATTTACCACATTAGCAATCTATAGAGTGTATTTCTTTAAAGTTAGGACTAGTTTAAAGTTATCTTCATTGAAAAGTACAGTGCTTTTCCTTCAAAAATAAGGACATTTCAATGTGACTCCAAACCTTTGAACGGTAGTGTAGATAGAAGCTTTTTTATGCAC